AGGTATATGAAATAAAATAAAAATTGTTTTCTGTTAATCTTTGTAATATTATCTGTAAAACCAGTATAATAAGTCCTGATAATAGAAGATATGAATTTATAGTCGAAAATTTACATATTAATAAGAAAAAAGGACATTGAGGCAATTTAATCTTACTAATTAGCCCATATTTATATTTTTAAAATATGATACATAATTAAAGATGTTTATTTAACTTACAACATAAATAGTTTACAAAATAATTATTAGTAAATTATGAATTCATTATTGTAAAATATTTAAAAAGTTATTCAATAAACTTTATTTTTAATGAAAAAATGTTAAATGTTTATTAAATTACTTACTGCTTTACACATATTATATATTGCCAATAAATGATTTTCATTACTAACAAATGCAGGTGTATCCACAACAACAAAATTATGGAGAGAAGGCATCATATCTGTGAAAATTTATATCAATGAATAAATAATTTGAAGTTATTATTTAAATTAAATATTTTTATTTCTAATTATATAAATTCAGTAATTATGAATTCTAAATAATCATTAAAAATTTAATATTCTTAATTTAAATAATTGAACATTTTGGTTGTATTGGTTACATTTTGACACATATAGTAACAGCTATGAAAATTGCATTATCTATAATATATGCCAAGAAGCATTCAACAAATATGCAAAACAGCATATTTAAACTATGATTACTGTTTGTAATAACATATATAGTACAAAGTATAAACAAATAATAAACCAAAAAAAAATGTCATTTATTACATATATAATGCTTTGCTAAACTTCAATAAGTATTATTTTACACAACAGCTTCACCAATACTGTTAATGAGCACTGTCACAACTTGGGTCATTCTATTACAGAAAGAAAAAAAGAAAAACAAGACCAGGAAGTAATCAGGCCTAAAAAATGTAAAATGAAATATTATTTCTTGTTGAATGGGATCCTAATACTATGTAGGGCCACCTTAAACCTTAACAGCTTCTGCGCTATGGCATAGAGCAATGAGGTTCTTCAAGTATTCCATTAATATCAATATATCAAGCTTTTGTGATACCAAACTCTTCTAAGACGTTCCTATTTTTTTCATTGCAATTTTCTTGCTATTCGTGCTAACAATCCTCAGCAATGTTGATTGAAAATCAGGACTGTTACTTTGCCAGCTTAGATATCTGACCTGGGTCACTTGTAAGAATTTTTACATAATCTGAAATGCAAATTGTTGTATGAAATCCACAAATTTAATGCAATTTGTCGAAAAAAAATGTAAACAACTCCGATAGAAAAAACACTCCTGGTGAGAATTATATTGGAGGTAACTGTTTGTTATAACAATTAGATGGGAAAGTTGACACATAGGTGTCAAGAATGCACTGTAATATTGTCAACATGTGGCAATCATGTAACTCCTTTCCCATGACAACTGAATAAAAGCTTGAGCCCCCAGAAGCTCAGAGTGCGTCCACACACGGAAGTTATTTCTGTACTTGTGCTAATCGATCTCCATGCAAAGGATCCTGTCAGAGAAGACACCAAACACTACTAACTGTTCCATACAGACGATGCGCCAACTCTCCATTACTCCAAGAGATATTTAGGAGATATTTTAGAACTTGTAAAATCACTCTCTCTCGCCCTAAAGTTAGGCAAGCGACATAAACGAGAATAGTCGCCCATTTTATGTAAATAGTATAGTATAACCACATTTAATTTTAGTATTATTTTCGCCTCCTGTAACTTAGATTTAGTTATTCAATAAATGTTTTGTTTATTTGTTAAATCTGTCTCCTGTCTTTGAAAGGACGCCTGCCGGCTTACCGATGCACTCCCAACTCACTTTTGCTCTCCTAGCCATCTGACGACTCCAAGACCGAGTTTTACCAGTCTGTGCAGCATAAGTGGTCAGAAAGGATTAATCCCTGACCCTCTGCTTGTCTCACAGTTGTATAAGTAAATATAATGCTAACAACTGTAGAGAGAGAGAACATTTTATACTTTGTCATCTTGATATTATGCAGAGTTACTGTGAAAGATGCAGGATTTAATCTCACAAAACTGTTCTTTGATTGGTGAAATTAGTTTGGCATATAACAATGTCTTTGTATCACATTGCATTTGCAGAGTCATTTACAAAGCTTAGTCCACCAACACCTTTACTGGATATGCATTCCCACATCATTTGACTTATTAGAAACAAATAAAATACTCCTCAAACCTTTTAACCAGAGTGCTTCTACTTTTAGAATCGCAAACGTTTTCGTCGCCCCTCCTGGGCTCTTCTTCAGGCTTTATCGAATAGGCAGTTACTGTTCAAATAAACATAAATAAACATTTGATCTGAATTTCTTCCAAACACTATCATGTGAAATCATTCTGTAGTTGTATTGTGCATGCTCCATAATCATCTGTTTAAATGCTGTTATACAACTATGGAACGATTTCACATGATAGTGTTTGAAAGAAATTCAGATCAAATGTTTATTTGAACAGTAACAGCCTATTTAATAAAGCCTGAAGAAGAGCCCAGGAGGGGCGACGAAAACATTTGCGATTCTAAAAATAGAAGCACTCTGGTTAAAAGGTTTGAGGAGTCTTTTATTTATATTTACTGGTGTGTAGAGAGATTGTATCATTAGAAACAGCAAGCAATCCAGTAGAAACACAATTTAATGTATTTTCACATGTAATGTTGGCATGGTCAGTTGAGTCATAGAAGTTAAATTAATTTTCAAGATTATTTCATTTTGTAATAGTGAGAGCATGTCATATTTATAGTTTTGGAGCCTTGGAGCAATGTGTTGAACTTGTAGATCGGCATACTAAGCAGAGTAAAGCAATATCATATCAGTATTCAAACTTCATTATTGATTCTATATTCCAAATAAAAATGAAGACATGACAAATTCTCAAGAGGAAACAAACATCATAAATTATTTTCAAAAATCAATGTAACAGTTCATTATTTGTAAAAGCCTTACTGTCCTTTTTAATTCTAATATTATTTTTAATTGTCTACTTGGACTTAATTTATTAATAGAACATAAGTTGGTGTTTAAAGATTGACACAGCGATGAGAGTTGGTTCAGGAAAGAACAAAATTTCTTTATTATATCACCTGTAGTAATAGTTTCTGTACACATATTACAAGTGTTTCAGGCTATCATGCCCCTCATCAGCAGTACTACTACCACAAATGTAAATACATATTCCAAACCCGAGTATAAATGTATTTTTCTCTTTGTATAATTAATTAATGATTTAAACATTTCAATCAAGGTTCAAATTTTCACAATTCCTTTGTGAAAATTTGAAACTTGAATTGTGAAAATTTGAACCTTGATTGAAATGTTTAAATCATTAATTAATTATACAAAGAGAAAAATACATTTATACTCGGGTTTGGAATATGTATTTACATTTGTGGTAGTAGTACTGCTGATGAGGGGCATGATAGCCCAAAACACTTGTAATATGTGTACAGAAACTATTACTACAGGTGATATAATAAGAAATTTTGTTCTTTCCTGAACTAACTCTCATTGCTGTGTCAATCTTTAAACACCAACTTATGTCCTATTAATAAATTAAGTCCAAGTAGACAATTAAAAATAATATTAGTAACAGTTCATTATCTTTGCATGTAAAATGTTTACAGGTGCCAATTGTTATACATTCTTCGTCTTTCATTGTTCTGACAATGGCCAAAGTTGGGTTCAAAATATTAGTTTTAATAAACATAGATTTAGTTTCCTTAATTGTATAGTAATTCATGCTATTTAAAATTAAATTTCATAAATAAAAATGCTTAAATTTAAATAATACAAAATAAATTCATTAAGGCTATAAAGGATTAATTTGTGGTAATTTGTATTATCTAGATTGAAATGTATCAATTTTAATCTGAAGGTAAATTAACACTATATTTTTTTACACTATATTCTACAGGATGATGATCAGCCATTATATTTCAAATTATAGAAATTGAGAAATTATAAACAGCCATAATAAATAATGTACTAAAAAATTATATTTCTTATTTAATTCCATTTATAAAATTCAGGCAAATAATTCTACTCCAACTTCTAAATATTCAAACAAAAAACAAAACTCTTTTATTTGATGCTTTATTTAACTTGGGATAATGTAGTTCTGTTTATTTGGTTAAAATTCATGATTTCTTTTACAAGAAAACCTGCATTTTACAAAATTGAATTGGATAAATGTACAAAATTTATAGTTAAGGAAAAAATTGTCAAATTATATTTACCTGTAAAATAATCAAAGCCATCATTCTGGAATGTCTGATACATCATTTCAAAAACTTTCCACATATCTTGTGAAATAGTATCAGATGATAAGCTGTAAATTAATGACATTGCTTCTTCATAAAATTCTGAAAAAATTTTGATATCATCAGTACTTTTGAATGGAACAATTTCATTTCATACATTTGTTATTTACACTGTAATAAATACATCAAAGATAGCAGAATTATACAATCAGTTTGCTAAGAATATAGAATATACTAAAAACCAATTTTAAAAATTTTTGATTAAAAAGAACCACCATTAAATATAAGTACAGTAGAGCATTGATTATCCGACCCCCGATTAACCATCACCTCGCTTAACCGACCGCGTTCTAGTAGGCAAATTCAAATGTCCGCTAGTGATGTGGCATTACAATATTTGGTTATGTCTTGGCTACTTTGATATTATTTTTACGTGTTTTAGCTGGCAACACTGGATCAACCATGAAAGGGAGCCAGTATCTAAACGAGGCTTAATTTTCTAATTTTTAACGATACAATAGCAACGATTATTATTTTAAAAAAAAAATTTGATGGGCTTAACATGGAGGAAAATTCAACGCGAAGTAGGTTAATAGTGATATACTAATATACTAATTACATAGGATATAATAATATACTACACTAATAATGGATTTTTTCATACTTTTCGGTTATCCGACCAATCCCAGTCCCCAATTGAGTCAGACAATCGATGCTCTACTGTATTATTATTTGTATTCTTCAGAAGTCATCACATTTTATAAAATTCATAAACTTTTGTAAAATATAATCTACAATTCTAAAGAGAGTTCTTGTTAGAATAAATTTAAATTTCTGGATTTTCTAATATTTTACAGATTTTACAAATGTATATACCAACATCCTGAAGCCCGATGTATCAATGCTAAGCCAAATGATCACCATAATTAATTGGGCTATTATTATATGGGTTCAAGACACACTCTGGGCTAGTTCTTTTCTTCCAAATTTTCTAAATTATTTATTAAATTATTATAATTATTAATTTAGATAAGAGATGGTTTGTAACATCTACCTCTAGTACCAAATTACTTAATTTCTAATTATTAATTATAGCACAATAATAGTCCGATTAATTACAATAATTGTTTGATTTACAAATGTTTTGTCTTTCAAATGAAGAACTCTCCTGAAAAGCACATTGAAAATAAAATGTTAAAGAAACTAATATTTAAAAGGCTATCATCATTTCTAAGCAAAAAAAATTTACATTAAGATATTTAATTAAACTTAAAAAAACAATTTAATGAATGCTTTTGATAAGTTCAACTTTTATCATCTTGCAGTAAAATAACAGCAAAATGAGATATCAAATGTTCCTTTGCATTGTTATATTCTTTACTAAGCTGATATCTATCCATATATTTATTTTCATTTCTTTCAGCTTTACTGCATGATGATCTTAACTTGCTTTGCCCTTTTCTCTGTTTTGGCATTCATTTCCTCCTACTTCCTCATTCCCTCAATGTAACTATAACCCTTCTCTTGCATTTCCAATTTATTCAATAACTGAATATTTACAAAAAAAATTTAGAAGGTTCAACTACTCAAATACCTTATTAATGATATCATTCCATTAGACAAGAAGAATAAGAGCATATATAAACAGACTCTTTTGTAAGATGCACATCAAACAGCACAAACAGCATAAAATTCTTACATAATGGCAAACCTAACAAAAAGTACATGCTACCAAGAAAACAACATACTCACAGAACAGCAGGAAAAGTATTGAAGAAATTCACAGGAATGTAAGGAACAATATGTTGACTTTGATTCTTCGATAAGCCTATAAATGATGTAGAAATACATATACTACACACACTTACAAAAACTATTTCTCAGCTTTAATGGAACAAATGGTAATATAAATAATATTAAATAAATCCATTATAAATCAATATCGAAAGGATGAACAAACATCAATTAAAAATGGGAAAATTTTGAATGAACAAATAAGATGCAATGTAGTCTGTGTATATTGCATATCTAAGAGTCATACATTGTTCAATTCTATTTTTGGGAATGCTTCTGCTTATTTAAAAAAGAATATAACCTAAACTATTACAGTGTAACTCCAATTTGTATCATATTCCTGAAAACATCTTGTAAATCAAAATCTCATAAATAGGGACTAGCTTACCCACCTTTTCTGATGGCCAAAATTTATTTTTCATTCTGGCATAATTTGTTTATCCTACCCATGTTTCCTAAATAATATTAAATGTGTGTGTTGTTACATACATTTTACCTACTAACTAATGATTTTAAATGACATAAAATGAGCAGAGAATAAAAAAAGAATGATTCCTTTACTTATTAATGAAATTGTAATCACTGATAGAAGGATCTAAAATGTAAAGATAAAGTTTATTAAAATACACAATAATATTTGGAACAAATATCACCACCCCTAATGAACAAACACGCATTGTAAACTTCAAACAAAGAAAATTGCGGAAATTGAAACCAGAACCTATGAGCCATCTTGTCATAACATGAGGAAATTTTGATCTTTTACACTTATGATTAAAATGTTTTGTTCTTGTAAATATTGGCTGGCATTCATTCTATTGAATATTCTGTCTCAAATAAAGGAGAGAGAGAGAATTGTCATACATCAAGTACTAATGCTGTACTTAATAATGATAATCAGAAGTTATCATTGGGCAGCAATTTTAAAATTTCAGACCTATAAATTCCCACTGGCACCCATCCATCTTTTCAAATAAAAAAAACTACAGATTCCAATTTGGATTTCATGGTTTGAAACATGAGGCAGGTTTATAACAGGGGTGCACAACCTATGGCCCGCGGGCCACATACGGCCCCTTATCAATGTTTATGCGGCCCGCCCGACGGTACAGGCCAAATCCCTTCTTTCCAAGTTTCTAAGTGTAGAACTTTTCCCTTTCACAAAGTCATTAGCACCCAACTGTTTTATAACTTTCCCTGAAGTGAGAAATGGGGGAGTTGTTCTATAAATAAGTCTATTTCTAGCTAACACTTTCTGGTTTAGATATCGAATATTNTTGAGGCAATTTAATCTTACTAATTAGCCCATATTTATATTTTTAAAATATGATACATAATTAAAGATGTTTATTTAACTTACAACATAAATAGTTTACAAAATAATTATTAGTAAATTATGAATTCATTATTGTAAAATATTTAAAAAGTTATTCAATAAACTTTATTTTTAATGAAAAAATGTTAAATGTTTATTAAATTACTTACTGCTTTACACATATTATATATTGCCAATAAATGATTTTCATTACTAACAAATGCAGGTGTATCCACAACAACAAAATTATGGAGAGAAGGCATCATATCTGTGAAAATTTATATCAATGAATAAATAATTTGAAGTTATTATTTAAATTAAATATTTTTATTTCTAATTATATAAATTCAGTAATTATGAATTCTAAATAATCATTAAAAATTTAATATTCTTAATTTAAATAATTGAACATTTTGGTTGTATTGGTTACATTTTGACACATATAGTAACAGCTATGAAAATTGCATTATCTATAATATATGCCAAGAAGCATTCAACAAATATGCAAAACAGCATATTTAAACTATGATTACTGTTTGTAATAACATATATAGTACAAAGTATAAACAAATAATAAACCAAAAAAAAATGTCATTTATTACATATATAATGCTTTGCTAAACTTCAATAAGTATTATTTTACACAACAGCTTCACCAATACTGTTAATGAGCACTGTCACAACTTGGGTCATTCTATTACAGAAAGAAAAAAAGAAAAACAAGACCAGGAAGTAATCAGGCCTAAAAAATGTAAAATGAAATATTATTTCTTGTTGAATGGGATCCTAATACTATGTAGGGCCACCTTAAACCTTAACAGCTTCTGCGCTATGGCATAGAGCAATGAGGTTCTTCAAGTATTCCATTAATATCAATATATCAAGCTTTTGTGATACCAAACTCTTCTAAGACGTTCCTATTTTTTTCATTGCAATTTTCTTGCTATTCGTGCTAACAATCCTCAGCAATGTTGATTGAAAATCAGGACTGTTACTTTGCCAGCTTAGATATCTGACCTGGGTCACTTGTAAGAATTTTTACATAATCTGAAATGCAAATTGTTGTATGAAATCCACAAATTTAATGCAATTTGTCGAAAAAAAATGTAAACAACTCCGATAGAAATAACGCTCCTGTGAGAATTAGATCGGAGGTCACCGTTTGTCATAACAATTAGATGGGAAAGTTGACACATAGGTGTCAAGAATGCACTGTAATATTGTCAACATGTGGCAATCATGTAACTCCTTTCCCATGACAACTGAATAAAAGCTTGAGCCCCCAGAAGCTCAGAGTGCGTCCACACACGGAAGTTATTTCTGTACTTGTGCTAATCGATCTCCATGCAAAGGATCCTGTCAGAGAAGACACCAAACACTACTAACTGTTCCATACAGACGATGCGCCAACTCTCCATTACTCCAAGAGATATTTAGGAGATATTTTAGAACTTGTAAAATCACTCTCTCTCGCCCTAAAGTTAGGCAAGCGACATAAACGAGAATAGTCGCCCATTTTATGTAAATAGTATAGTATAACCACATTTAATTTTAGTATTATTTTCGCCTCCTGTAACTTAGATTTAGTTATTCAATAAATGTTTTGTTTATTTGTTAAATCTGTCTCCTGTCTTTGAAAGGACGCCTGCCGGCTTACCGATGCACTCCCAACTCACTTTTGCTCTCCTAGCCATCTGACGACTCCAAGACCGAGTTTTACCAGTCTGTGCAGCATAAGTGGTCAGAAAGGATTAATCCCTGACCCTCTGCTTGTCTCACAGTTGTATAAGTAAATATAATGCTAACAACTGTAGAGAGAGAGAACATTTTATACTTTGTCATCTTGATATTATGCAGAGTTACTGTGAAAGATGCAGGATTTAATCTCACAAAACTGTTCTTTGATTGGTGAAATTAGTTTGGCATATAACAATGTCTTTGTATCACATTGCATTTGCAGAGTCATTTACAAAGCTTAGTCCACCAACACCTTTACTGGATATGCATTCCCACATCATTTGACTTATTAGAAACAAATAAAATACTCCTCAAACCTTTTAACCAGAGTGCTTCTACTTTTAGAATCGCAAACGTTTTCGTCGCCCCTCCTGGGCTCTTCTTCAGGCTTTATCGAATAGGCAGTTACTGTTCAAATAAACATAAATAAACATTTGATCTGAATTTCTTCCAAACACTATCATGTGAAATCATTCTGTAGTTGTATTGTGCATGCTCCATAATCATCTGTTTAAATGCTGTTATACAACTATGGAACGATTTCACATGATAGTGTTTGAAAGAAATTCAGATCAAATGTTTATTTGAACAGTAACAGCCTATTTAATAAAGCCTGAAGAAGAGCCCAGGAGGGGCGACGAAAACATTTGCGATTCTAAAAATAGAAGCACTCTGGTTAAAAGGTTTGAGGAGTCTTTTATTTATATTTACTGGTGTGTAGAGAGATTGTATCATTAGAAACAGCAAGCAATCCAGTAGAAACACAATTTAATGTATTTTCACATGTAATGTTGGCATGGTCAGTTGAGTCATAGAAGTTAAATTAATTTTCAAGATTATTTCATTTTGTAATAGTGAGAGCATGTCATATTTATAGTTTTGGAGCCTTGGAGCAATGTGTTGAACTTGTAGATCGGCATACTAAGCAGAGTAAAGCAATATCATATCAGTATTCAAACTTCATTATTGATTCTATATTCCAAATAAAAATGAAGACATGACAAATTCTCAAGAGGAAACAAACATCATAAATTATTTTCAAAAATCAATGTAACAGTTCATTATTTGTAAAAGCCTTACTGTCCTTTTTAATTCTAATATTATTTTTAATTGTCTACTTGGACTTAATTTATTAATAGAACATAAGTTGGTGTTTAAAGATTGACACAGCGATGAGAGTTGGTTCAGGAAAGAACAAAATTTCTTTATTATATCACCTGTAGTAATAGTTTCTGAAATACTGGTGTTTAAAGATTGACACAGCAATGAGAGTTAGTTCAGGAAAGAACAAAATTTCTTTATTATATCACCTGTAGTAATAGTTTCTGTACACATATTACAAGTGTTTCAGGCTATCATGCCCCTCATCAGCAGTACTACTACCACAAATGTAAATACATATTCCAAACCCGAGTATAAATGTATTTTTCTCTTTGTATAATTAATTAATGATTTAAACATTTCAATCAAGGTTCAAATTTTCACAATTCAAGTGTCAAAATTTCAAAAAGGAATTGTGAAAATTTGAACCTTGATTGAAATGTTTAAATCATTAATTAATTATACAAAGAGAAAAATACATTTATACTCGGGTTTGGAATATGTATTTACATTTGTGGTAGTAGTACTGCTGATGAGGGGCATGATAGCCCAAAACACTTGTAATATGTGTACAGAAACTATTACTACAGGTGATATAATAAGAAATTTTGTTCTTTCCTGAACTAACTCTCATTGCTGTGTCAATCTTTAAACACCAACTTATGTCCTATTAATAAATTAAGTCCAAGTAGACAATTAAAAATAATATTAGTAACAGTTCATTATCTTTGCATGTAAAATGTTTACAGGTGCCAATTGTTATACATTCTTCGTCTTTCATTGTTCTGACAATGGCCAAAGTTGGGTTCAAAATATTAGTTTTAATAAACATAGATTTAGTTTCCTTAATTGTATAGTAATTCATGCTATTTAAAATTAAATTTCATAAATAAAAATGCTTAAATTTAAATAATACAAAATAAATTCATTAAGGCTATAAAGGATTAATTTGTGGTAATTTGTATTATCTAGATTGAAATGTATCAATTTTAATCTGAAGGTAAATTAACACTATATTTTTTTACACTATATTCTACAGGATGATGATCAGCCATTATATTTCAAATTATAGAAATTGAGAAATTATAAACAGCCATAATAAATAATGTACTAAAAAATTATATTTCTTATTTAATTCCATTTATAAAATTCAGGCAAATAATTCTACTCCAACTTCTAAATATTCAAACAAAAAACAAAACTCTTTTATTTGATGCTTTATTTAACTTGGGATAATGTAGTTCTGTTTATTTGGTTAAAATTCATGATTTCTTTTACAAGAAAACCTGCATTTTACAAAATTGAATTGGATAAATGTACAAAATTTATAGTTAAGGAAAAAATTGTCAAATTATATTTACCTGTAAAATAATCAAAGCCATCATTCTGGAATGTCTGATACATCATTTCAAAAACTTTCCACATATCTTGTGAAATAGTATCAGATGATAAGCTGTAAATTAATGACATTGCTTCTTCATAAAATTCTGAAAAAATTTTGATATCATCAGTACTTTTGAATGGAACAATTTCATTTCATACATTTGTTATTTACACTGTAATAAATACATCAAAGATAGCAGAATTATACAATCAGTTTGCTAAGAATATAGAATATACTAAAAACCAATTTTAAAAATTTTTGATTAAAAAGAACCACCATTAAATATAAGTACAGTAGAGCATTGATTATCCGACCCCCGATTAACCATCACCTCGCTTAACCGACCGCGTTCTAGTAGGCAAATTCAAATGTCCGCTAGTGATGTGGCATTACAATATTTGGTTATGTCTTGGCTACTTTGATATTATTTTTACGTGTTTTAGCTGGCAACACTGGATCAACCATGAAAGGGAGCCAGTATCTAAACGAGGCTTAATTTTCTAATTTTTAACGATACAATAGCAACGATTATTATTTTAAAAAAAAAATTTGATGGGCTTAACATGGAGGAAAATTCAACGCGAAGTAGGTTAATAGTGATATACTAATATACTAATTACATAGGATATAATAATATACTACACTAATAATGGATTTTTTCATACTTTTCGGTTATCCGACCAATCCCAGTCCCCAATTGAGTCAGACAATCGATGCTCTACTGTATTATTATTTGTATTCTTCAGAAGTCATCACATTTTATAAAATTCATAAACTTTTGTAAAATATAATCTACAATTCTAAAGAGAGTTCTTGTTAGAATAAATTTAAATTTCTGGATTTTCTAATATTTTACAGATTTTACAAATGTATATACCAACATCCTGAAGCCCGATGTATCAATGCTAAGCCAAATGATCACCATAATTAATTGGGCTATTATTATATGGGTTCAAGACACACTCTGGGCTAGTTCTTTTCTTCCAGATTATCTAANTCCAACATCTGCCATTACACCAGACATCAAGAAGATTGCCTCCAGCATCCAATCTCAGCCATCGCATTAATCGCTTGGAGGTCCGGCCCCCAGTCAGTAAACTTAATCCTAATTTGGCCCTTCTTCACAAAAGGTTGTGCATCCCTGTTTATAAAATAAACTGAAAACATTTGTTCTCTACATCCTTTTGCTGGAAAAGTGTGAATGGTTTTCATTTTACAAGTTCTCTCTTCTTGTTTTAATTTTGAATTTTAGCATAAATAAACTCATTTCACATTAGTCCATATATTGCAAAATTTCAAGGGTTTCTTGAGAAAACCCTTGAAAGTACAATGTAAAAACAACACAATATCTCAAACTGAACATAATGTTAAAAAATTTGGCATATGCAGACATTACAAACTTCTTCAGAATTATCAACTTTGAATGGCAATTATGTACAGTGTAATTACATGTAAAAACATCTGCATGTGATTAATGGGATTTTATTTTTCAATATGTCATCTGATTGACAGTGTAAATCTTCAAATACATTTCATCTAAAAGATACTACAAAACTGGGAGAGATTATAATAAAAGCATATTGGTGCTTTTATTGTAAATTTCGTAATATGTAAATTATAAATCAAACCAAACCCAGACAAAAAGGAACATTAACATTCTGCTACTAAACTTTTATGAAGAAAAGTTCTCTCTGATGAAAATTTGCAAAAAAGTTAATTTTATGACTTGTAAGTACTAAATTCAGTTATATTTGTTTTTATTAACTATGGCAAGTCATACAAAAGGTATGACTTGCCATATTTAAAAAATGATATAAAATTTAATACTTAATTTTGACTTTCCAGGCTATTGTATCAGCCTACAGGAAAGATCATTGGAATTTAAATATAATATATATGTCATTTATTGTTTTTATGTTTACATTTAATATATTAAAATAAGTAACAGAAGTTGCTATATTTAATCTTCTATTTATTTTTCGTACACTTAAATAAAAATAGACACAGTTATATTTCACATTATTTATTAAACAGTATACATATACTGTTTAATGTGTAAATTGCAGTACATTTATCAACAGCTCTAAATAAAATTAAATCATATACTACTAAGAAAGACACAGACTACAGGTACATATACTTCATTGCATCTCATTTGTTTGATCTCTACATTTCTGTAAAAACATTTCCCATTTTCAATTGTTATTTGTAAATCTTTGTAGTAACTTGATTAAAAATATTGATGTCTAATGAGATTATTTATTATTATTTATCTAAAATGCCTCAACCATTTAATCCACTGAATATAAGAAGTGTTATTGTAAAGACTGGAGAATACTTGATATAAACATTATCACTTAAACATAAACAGCTAAAATTTCTTTTTTATCCAATCAACCAACCATAAAAATTGAAACCAACAACTGCTTAAATATTTCAAATATGTAAAAACAACAAAAAATGAAATTTGACTTAGTGATTAGAAAATAAATATTAATTGACTGGATGAAATTTACTCTGTTGGTATTTACTGCAAAAACAAAAAATCCAGCAATGAGTTGTATAACTTTCTCAGCTTTTATGAGATCTTATCTAGAAAATAACTTTTATAATTTTAATTACAATATAAGGTATGTGGTGCTATCTGTTATGAGATTTTGTTATAAAAAAAACCTATATTTTTAATTACTATAAAATGGCAAAAAGCTTAATTTTGAGGGTAGGGATGAGTTTTATAAAAACATATAAATGTTAAAAACAAGTAAAATAGTCATTAAGTCCAACCCTACTGGAAATACACACAACTCTCCCTTTATCTCCCCATCCCAACCTTTAACCACCAAAATTTCATAGCATCAATGCCCATCATGCCAAATTTTGTTACTTAATCTTTACCCCATCCTGAGATACTCATATTAGGTGAAATAGATGCCAACACATACACACATTGAAATTTTTTGCTTTTTTTTTTACTTTTTTGGATTCAGGTCTCAAAATGTGAAGATTGGAGATTTATAAAAACTCACAGGGTAAAATTTGACACAATTCCAATACTTTCCTTGTTATGTATACATAACATCCAGGGAAAGTAAAAGTACTATGAACTTAATATCAGGTAACCAAAACAGTTCATGCAGTTTTTCTAAGACAAAATTAAAACATCATAAAAATAAAACAAGAATATTTTGTTCTGAAAAATAACACCATCACAATAATTTTCCCCAATGAGAAACAAGTTTATAAATTTTACTCATAAAATACTCTCTCTTTAGAAGCAAAATCTTCATTCAACTCCTTTTCTAATTCCTCTTGATTTTGAAATCGTTGGTTATCTTTTGTTGTCAGGTGACAACAAAAGATGAAAAGCAGATGGTGAGAGATCTGGTGAATGGGGTAGAATTTCCCAAGAAATGCTATGCAGCTTTTCTTGAGTTACTCTGGAAGTATGAGATTTTTCATTATCTGGAAGAAACACAATACCTTTGCAATTAATTAGCATCAATTGTTTTTACAAAAGCTTCTCATGCACACAATTTAGCTGAATAGAGTAAACTTCTCTTGTGATTGTTTGCTTTAAGGATAAGAGATCATAATGAACAATACCTGTTATTTTCCACCAAATACACAACAAAATCTTATGTTGGTAAAGTAAAGATTTTGATATGGAAGGCACAAGTTCTCTGGAAGGTAAACGATGAGAAGATCACTTAGTGTTGGAACATAATCCATTTTTTAACACACATAAGTAGTCTGTCCAAAAACAGCTTGCTCTTATGACAAGAAAGAAGAGCTAAACTAATTGTTTTCTGCTGAGAGTTCATGTAAAACCCGTTTGCTTAATTTAAATACTTTTCCCAGTTGATGCAAGTACAGACAAATGGTTTTTATCATTCACACCAAACCTTTCTACAGATTGTTTACATATCTGACTTGACAGCATTCTTTAAGTTATTGCTATCGATGACTGTTTGCCATCTGTCATGAAGTGCACCTTCAAAAGAGACATCCTTCGATGAAAATTTTTTTATACCCTTTTTGGCCAGCAATCACTACCCATCCCTTCTCTGAATACTGTGTATATCTTTCTAGAATCTTAATATTTGTCCAAAGTTTAAATTCATTAAGTAAGCATGCTGAAATAACTATTAGAAGCTCATATTTTGACAGCTGTTTTTCACATTTAAAATTTAACTGTTAAATTTTTTAAAACTAATTTCTATAAAAGTTTAAATTTAGAATGGTAAATGCCATCTATAAGAAACACTACATAATTAATGTTCAAACTAGTAACTTTATAAAACCACACAACCTTTTTGATCACATGATAATTTGAATAATTAGCTAAAATAAATGTAACATTATACCAGTAAACTCTAATTACTTATTTTATATTTATTCATATTTACAAAACAATAACAAACAAATAAAATTAAGAAACATTCCAACATTCATAAATCTACAAAAATTTACTATGAAGTAAATTTTTGTAGATTTTATATTTACTATATACTAACAAATCATAAATAAAATAAATTTCATTCATAACTTTTAAAATAGTTTCGAATGCATTAAGTTGCTCCTCAGAAGAACCAAAAAGTGTGTCTTAGAACAAATTAAGTCATCAAATGCATTGTAATATTTGAAACAAAAGCAGACTATTTTTATGACATCTGCCAGTGTCCTGTGAGGTCTAAATTCTTTAATCATTTTTTTAAATTATAAATTACATTTGTTGATAATACACAAAAGGAAACAACTAAAAATTTTAAAAATTACATCTTATATGCTTGTCTTAAGACTCTAGTATAAGTAAGAATTGTTAAGCATGACATTTGCATGAACACATACCATCAGGAACCCTGAGTAAGAAAGTACTTTTTTTTAAAAAAAAAGTTTTTTTTTTAAAAAAAACCTTTTTTAATTAAAAACTTTAGATATCTTTAATTTTTAAGAGTATTTTTCATAAAGAGTAGAAGAAATCAAATTTTGTATCAATGAAGATTACTTACATTAAATGAGTTAGTTATGTAACTTTAAATAAAACACACCTTTAATAATCCATCTAATAAAAATTACAGGTAACCCTGTATAACATGGCACTTCTATAGCACGGATTCGCTCTAACACGGTTCGAGAATTGGTACTATCCCCTGTATAACACGGTACTTTTATAGCACGGATTCACTCTGACACGGTTCGAGAATTGGGTAAAACCCTCGTACAACAGGAAATGTAATAAATTTTTACATACTTAACTAATAATAGTCGTGAACTATTAGTACTTAAGTATGTAAATTTTCTCTTCTCGCCTTCTGTCGATACACGTGGTCCTTCTCGAAACTTGTTTCAATGTTGCCAGATCGCGACGCTTCTGCTTCTGATGTTGCCGAATGTTTTTCCCTTATTCCATACTTGCTTTATTCTTCATAAGTGCTTAGCACCATATAAGGAAATTTATAAAGACCTTTTAACTAGAAGCAAGCAATCTAAAATTACATACATTTTGCAAAAGGTAAAGCATGGATCTGAAGATAATGCAGAAAAATGCTCAGAGGTTAAGGATAACTTGCCAAAAAGAAAACGCTCTCAGTTAATTAATAGTGTTTTTAGTGATGATGAAGAAAATATTGTTTAATTTATATTAATATGTATCACTTAAAAAATTTTTAATGAAGATATTTATCTTAATTATGAAAATATACTAGCATGTTTTTTAATTTTTGGAACCTAACCCTCCTTTTCGTATTAGTTCTTTGATTCATATAACACGGATTCGCAATTTTTTTAAACGTAACTACCGTGTTATACAGGGGTTACCTGTAATAATATAATAACGTTTTTGATCGTTTCTTAACGATCTTCGTCAGTTACCATAACATAAAATAAAATCTTTTTTATTAGCTGGATTATTAAAGGTGTGTTTTATTAATAGTATATTTATCCAGTTCGTTCGTTATATAAGTAACTTTAAAAATAAAAAAATCATAAAATAAAAATCTTTTGCAATTTAATGCTTTATTGGCTAAACAAGCTTACTTTTCAAAAATTTAAATTGTCATATTAACAACATAAAAATAATCAAGCAACATTTATCACTTCAACACTTGTAGAGTATTTATATTTTGTAATTAATTAAATATAACTATAAATAAAAATCTCTTGCTATGTCACATTCATCTGATATTTTGGACCTTGCACTTTTAAAAATTTTTACTGGTAGATAGAAATAAATTATATCTGTTAAGAATTAGAACTTTTCAAAACTTCTAAACTATTATTGAAACTCACCTATGACATTCTGTGTGAGAATAAGACCAACAACATTTAAGACGATTGGTTCGAGCTGAGACATGATATCTTTTTGCTCTTCCATAACAGAAAGAATTGTGTCAATAGTATTCAAAATACCCATAGCTGTAATCGCTCTTTCGTCAGAACTTTCATCTCCCGTTTTCAGCACTTGATTAAAAGTATGTGCCTATAAAAAGGTAAATTATTTATATGGTTAATTTATAATTTACAAGTTAAGATTATAATAAAACAAATAAATAATCAATTCTAAAAACCTAAAAGTACTATATATACATACACACATACATACTTATATGACTTTATAAATTTATATCAATATTCTATCAATTCCATCACTATTTATAGCTTTTTGGAACTTCAAAATATTTTATTGCTGGTAGTTGTGAAAATTATTTTCCATATTTCTAAAACTATTAATTATCAAAAGAAAATCTTTCTGAATTCATGCTATTTCCTCTAAACAACACTAACATCATTTTCAATTACAGTGCGCCATCAGTTAACGAATATATTCTGTTCCAAGACCATGTTTGCTATACGAATTGTTTGTTAAACCTATTATAAATTACTATAGATTTTTGTGGGAATTTAATTAATTTGTTCTGGGGACCCCAAAAAATAAATAAAAAATTTTATACTTTCTTACTTTGTTTATTTACATATAATAACAAACTAAAAGCAATCTCTCCATTTTTTTTCATGGTGGCATATCTTTGTTTCTCAGATGCTATTTTCGTTACTCTTTTATCTGCTCAAGTCTTTTTGATTATATCTTTTTTGGTTAAGATTGTATCTACTGTAGACCTGCTGAAGTCATCTGCCCACTCTCTACCTTGGCTATTATCTCTTGCTTAGTTTCTATAATGAATGCAGTTCTTGACTCTCTACTGTTTTTAGGCACCATAATATTATCAGTTTTTTAAAATAAAGAGTTCAAAAAAGCACTTACAAAAATTCAGAAAACAGAAATTAACTAGTGCAAAATAGGTTATGTATACAACTGCAAAAGTCTTGTTCCATAAACCAGGGATGCACAACCTGCAGCCTGAGAGCCACATATGGCCGGTCCCCTTTCAATGTTTATGTGGCCTGTGGAAGGTACAGGCTAAATCTCTCCTTTCAAGTGTGTCTATGGATTACTTGCTCCATTGAGATGTGGGTCCTGTTCTGTTACCTTAATGCAGTAAAACAAATCCTTCCTACGTTAAGTCTATGGAGAATCTTTTCCACTTCATTAAACAATAAAATTATTACTTACACTCCTTTTAAGCTCAGATTGGCACTTTTAGGCTTGAAAGACTTGGCTTTATCCAATAAAAGGAACAAAGAATCTGACGCCTGGGAAAATTGCTGCCAAAACTATGCCCACTTGAGCTCTTATCAAAGTGTGCTTGTAAACATACGAACTAAAGTAGCTATATTTTCAGTTTTTTAGCTCTAATTTTTCTCATTTTTATGTTGATTGACTATTTAATAAAACCATTAATGTTTTATCTGAAATGTTTAGCTGTATAATTTTTTCCACAAAACTCACTTTGCTATGTACTA